CGCTGTGTGCCTCACAGCCAGGCATGGGACAGTGAGCCGTTCCCCATGCTGCACCCTTGCGGAGGTGCGGGCTCTGGCCTGAGTCCCTGGGGCCCTGGCTGGTTCCAACCGGCATCCACCCTTCCCCCTTGTCCTGCCAAATGTGTGTGAGCAGCACGGTCCCAGGCGTGCCCTGCAGCTGCCTGCCACGGCCACCTGCCGCTCGGTCACCAGGCTGCACATGGTTGCACGTGCTGCTAACTGCCTCATGCTACGCAGCGTGCAGTTCACGTGGCCTGAGTGACATGCTCCCCTCCTCCCCCCTCCGGGGACCTGGTTTCCCTCCCCCCGCCCTTGTGAGTGCAAAGTGCAACACTCACCTGTGGATCCTTCCCCGGCCTCCGAGGATGCGCGGGAGACATCAGGGCTGCTGGAGGAGGCCTGCTGGGTGGCAGTGCCAGCCTCATCCTCCGATTCCGTGCTGTCTCCCCCACCTTGGTGGTCCTTGTGACGGGGGAGGGCGCATGCTGCTGTCGACAGGCACGTCTGGGGCTTGTGGAGCTGGCTAGCCTAGGATGGCATGGAGCCGGTCGTAGTGGGGGCAGGTGTCTGCTCCTGCCTCCTGGTCCACACGTAGCCCAGGTGCAGCTCCTTGACTTTAGCCCTGACTTGCTTGAGGGTCCGGGCTGGATGGCCCTGCTGGGCGGGCGCCTGGGCCATGCAAGCGAAGATGTCTGCATTCCGGTGCCAGAAGCGGGTGTTGCGGAGGGCCTCCTCCTTCTGTCAGAGGTCCAGCAGGCTGTCCAGCTCCCCCGACGACCAGGATGGGGCCCTTCTTTTTCTGGCCCTGGGGGCCTCCTGCGCTGGGAGTGCGGGTGGCTGATCCACCCCTGCCGCGGGGGCTGCCATGCCTGCACTGAAGTGGCTGGGCAGCACAGTTGCCACGTGGCAGAGCTGGGAAGGGTGGTCTCCGGGGGGCTCCTGCCAGCGTGCGGGCTCTTTAAGCCCTTGGGTTACGCGGAAGTCCGCGGCTTCTACGGGGTCTCCTGCCGTCCAAACCGCTTTTTTCTGTTTCTTCTGCTTTTCCGGAAAAGCTGTCTACACTGGCCCTTTTCTGGAAAAGCTTTTCCGGAAAAAGGACTTTTGCCCGAGCGGGAGCAGCGTAGCGTTTCCGGAAAAGCGGCTGATTTTCCGGAATAAGTGGCCCAGTGTAGACACAGCCTGAGCGTTAGGAAGTTTTTCCTAATGTCCAACCTAAACCTCCCTTGCTACAATTTAAGCCCATTTCTTCTTGTCCTATCAGAGGCCAAGAAGAACAATTTTTCTCCCTCCTTGTGACACCCTTTTAGATACCTGAAGACCGCTATCATGTCCCCCCGTGGTCGTCTTCTTGCCACACTAAACAAACCAAATTATTTCAGTCTTCCTTCATAGGTCACGTCTTATAGATCTTTTATCATTCTTGATGCTCATCTCTGGTCCCTCTCCATTTTCTCCACATCTTTGTTGAAATGTGGTGCCCAGAACTGGACACAATACTCGAACTGAAACCTGATCAGCACAGAATAGAACCGAAGAATGACTTCTTGTGTCTTGCTCACAATGTTCGTTAATGCATCCCAGAATCATGTTTGCTTTTTTTTGCAATACTATCATGCTGACGACTCATATTTAGCTTGTGGTCCACTATGACCCCTAGATCCTTTTCTGCAGTACTCCTTCCTAGACAGTCATTTCCCATTCTGTATGTGAGAGACTGATTGTTCCTTCCTAAGTGGAGCACTTTGCATCTGTCCTTATTAAACTTGATCCTATTTACCTCAGACCATTTCTCCAGATCTTTTTGAATTACGACCCATCCTCCAAAGCACTTGCAGCCCCTCCCAGTTTGGTATCATCTGCAAACTTAGTAACTGTCCTCTCTATGCCAGTATCTAAATTGTTGAATAAGATAGTGAACAGAACCAGTCCCAAAACAGATCCCTGCGGAATCCCACTTATTAATGGTTCACAATCCTGCTGGAAGGGCATAAGTCCTCTGAGATCTGTTATCCAGTCAGTTATGTATCCACCTTATAGTAGCCCCATGTAGGTTGTATTTGCCTGGTTTATTGAGAATACCATGTGAGACTATCAAATGCCTTACTAAAGTCTAGGTATACCACATCCACAAGGCCTGTTATCCTATTAAAGAAAGCTATCAATCAGATTGGTTTGACGTGATTTGTTCTTTACAGATCCATGCTGGCTGTTACTCGTCAGCTTATCTTCCAGGTGTTGGCAGATGAATTCCTTAATTACTTCATTATCTTTCCTGGCACAGAAGTTAAACGGACTGGTCTGTTATCTTATTTCTCTTTTTATAGAGTGGCACTAGGTTTGCCCTCTTCCAGTTTTCTGGAATCTTTCCTGACTTTCGTGATTTTTCAAAGATGATAGCTAAAAGCTTAGATACCTCCTCTGTCAGCTCCTTGAGTATTCTAGGATGCATTTCATCAGGCTCTGGTGACTTACAAACATCTCACTTTTCTAAGTAATTTTTAAGTTATCTTTTAGACCTATCCCCTCTTCCCACTAAATGAGTGAAATCAACAGAACATACAATAGTTAACTGATCCCTCCTGTCACCCCAGTCCAGCTTCTTGCAAACAGGGTGTAATAAGCTGAGGGTTGATAAAATCGTAAGGCTTGACTAAAAGGTCTGAAATCTAGTGAGCAAGACTTTGGCTCAATGAAACTGCAGGTAGGAAAGAGGGTTGGCTTAAAAGAAACACAGGCCACCCCCCACCCTGACAACCTAATTTGTTCATGGAGAACCATCCTAAGTTGAATCCTTATTTCCCATAGGTGCAATGTTATAAATGGTGGTTCCTGTTTCTGGAAACCCATTTCACACCCAAAAAAATACCAACATTGACTATGGAAATTGAGGAAAACTAAATACTTCAAATAATGCACAAAACACACTAAAAAGTGAAGGCCGGTGTGACACATGCGCCCAGTTCAAGCAGCAGCTGCAGACTGGTGAGTCTGACCTTGTGCGTTTCCTGTTTTGGAACGACGCGTGGAGCCTGTGTCGTACACCGTCGTAAATGTAAGCTGCAGATGTAAATTGGGGGGTTTTAGGAGCTATCTTGCATGAAAAAATGGTTGTAAGTGCAGGGAGTCATAAGTTGGGGGTTGCCTGTAGTATAAGTGAGGTCAAGCATAAAGAACACCAAAAAGTACCAGACACAGGAACCAAGCATCTTGGTATCAACTACTCCCCCAAAATAAAGTACATACCGAGGTAGGTTCAGGACCAGGTCTAAGTTGACAATATGAACAATAGTAACTAAGTCCCCTCTTATGCGAGGTAAAGTTCAATAACCAGGTAACAGAGGGTGGCAACCTCATGTCAGTGATGTGTAGCTTGTTTGTACCTGTGTATAAATGTGCACCTCTGAGGGTGAATTACCAGCTGACTGTGGGGGAGGCATATGCACAGTGGCTGGCATTTAATGGGTGTCAGCGCATTGCCATGGCTTACATAAAGTGCAGTGGCACTGCAGCAAGTCTGTTTGCTGTATTAGTGTAGCTGTCACCCTGTTTGGGTGATTTCGATCCTTATCTGATTTGTGGTCTCTAGGGGCTCTTTCCTGAGTATCATTAACTAATTGTGCATGGTTAATGCCTACTCATTTTATGTTACCAACCCTCAACTTACTACACAGGTTAGGGAGTGAGCATCCCTGCTCAGCCAGCTGATTACCAGCTATTGGTGGACTTAGAATACAAAACAATTTTTTTTGAAAGATTTAGTTTAGAAAAATCTCCCCCCAGCAGATTTCACAGGCTTACATGTTGACACACACTCCTTTGTTTTAAAACTTCTGCCTATTAATATAATTGGGTGACCCTTAGTTCTGGCATTACATGGAGTAAATATTTCCTTATTTACTTTCAGCTCCCGTCAAGATTTTTAATAGGCCTCTATCATCCACTCCATTAATCATCTCTTCCAAGAATGGTCTGTATTTTTAATCTCTCCTCAGAGGGAAACTTCCAAACCCTCATTCATTTTTGTTGCCCTTCAATGCAGCTTTTCGGATTGCAAAATGTCCTTCAGACAGGACACCCATTTCTCCAGGCAGCATTCAAGATGATGATATATATTTTGTCTCATCTATCACTTTCCTAATGGTTCCTAACATTGTTACCTTGACTGCTGCTGCAATGGAATGCTTTAAAAAAAATTAACTATCCACTGTGACTCCCAGGATCTTTCAATGCTACCACCTAATTTAGACTTTTATATATAGTTGGAATTTTCCAAATATGCATTGCTTTGCATGAATCAACACTGAATTGTGTGCCATTGTGTTGCCCAATCACCCAGTTGTAGGATCCCTTTGCAGCCAGCTTTGGACTTGTGCTAACTTTGCCACCTCACACTTCACCCCTTTTTCTAGCTCACTTATCAGCACTGTCCCCAGCCTTCCATCTGTTTGCTTCCTTGCCACTAGCCTGCACCTTCTCCTGCAGGATCTAGACATTACCTCCCTGGGACAGAGCTCTGCTGAGGTTCAGAATAAGGATGTTAAGTATCAATTGACTTACTAGTTGAGTAGTCATTAAGGAAGAGTGCTCAAAGCGCTCACTTCCAGCTCAGGCTGCATCTGAGCAAAACTCCCAGCTGCCGCTCTGCAGTCTTAAAGGGACAGGGAAAGACACTGCTTCAGTCTCTGGTCCCCTTGTGAGTCTCAGGACAACCCTCACACTGCCACTCTGCATTTTTAAAGGGACACAGCAGCAGCAACTGGTCCCACTTGTCTGTCTCAGAGACTTGATAAACAATCCTCAACATCCCTGACAACGTTTCCAAATCCACAGAGTCAGTGGCAGAGCTGGGATAGGGCAGGAGTGCCAGGACCACCCTGACCTTGCCCAAGTTAAAATCTTGAAGCCTCCTCAACTACAGGATGATCGAGCAATTAACACATTAAGTTACAGCTGCTGAGAAAAACACTTAAGAGTAATGCTCATTTCCTGGCAGTTGAAGGAGAATGTCACCGTCTTCAGCCCAGGTTTTCAATTTATGTTCCTTGTAGTTCTAAAGTCAGACTGAGCTGAAAATAAAGCATCTGGAGGCCTTTTTAAAGAGTTTTATTTGAGTGGTTCTTACAAAGATTGTTGCAATATGAAAGTCGTTTGTTTGATAGAAATATCAAGCTGTCTTGTCAAACACACTGAAGTAACCCAAAAATATATTTCAGAGCTCACAGAGCTTAAAAAGAGCAAAGATTATATATGCAACCAGACAAAACACATTTCTGCATTTTCTACTTATTTAGGCTTTGCTGAGTATCATTAAACTGTGCACACTACCTATATTCAACTTTTCTCTGGAAATGCAGAGTGTGTTTTGTTTGGAACCCTAGACATACCTCACATAGTATTTACAAAGAAACTTACAGATACATCAATCAAAAATGGCCATCAAGAAATAAAACGCTTGAATCCTCCCATTCTTAACTACTGCTCATCATAAAGCAAGCTGTGTAGTTGACCAAAATCAGCTCCTCCAGTAGCCTTTTGAATTCTCCATTTATACAAAACACTAAATATGTCCCTTCATAAATTCTATCAGATATTAACCTTTAACAGACCACCTACATTTAGTGAGATGTAAAATGTAATTACTGTATTAAAAGAAAGGCTTGTGAAACATTAAAAATATTATGTTCCATCTGCCTTTTACAGAAAATTTGTTTCTATCAGCTACTTCTCAGGTCCTACAGAACACCTCAGTAAATGTACAAGAATTACAAGGCAGAACAAGAAGTCAAACAGCTTTGTACACAGTGGGAATGCTAGTTAGGTGAGATGTAAAATGTAATTACTGTATTAAAAGAAAGGCTTGTGAAACATTAAAAATATTATGTTCCATCTGCCTTTTACAGAAAATTTGTTTCTATCAGCTACTTCTCAGGTCCTACAGAACACCTCAGTAAATGTACAAGAATTACAAGGCAGAACAAGAAGTCAAACAGCTTTGTACACAGTGGGAATGCTAGTTAGGGAGAACTTACTCGGTTTTTATTTTTTAAAGGTAAAACGGGAAGTGTACACAAAATGACATTAAACCTTTTCCTTTAGTTTTATCTAAATAAAAAGATAACTCCAAATCTTCCTCCAAAAAATAGCTATATACAAAACTGACTAAATCCATCTTCATCGTCGAACTGGAACCAGTAATTGGGTCGCTGTCATGGAATCAGGGAAAAGATTGTGGTATGTCGGAAGAGGTACATATGCTGCTGTAATCATTTTACCTATACCAAAAGATAAAGGCCTTTTAATATCTTTAAGTCAACAATGAGAACTCAGGTCTCTAAGCAGATTTTACTCACCTGCAAACCACCGTCCATGCAATGCATTGACAGCTGCAATGGCAGCAGCGATTGAAGGGCACTTGACGTACACATTGCCCTAGAACAACAGACAGCGTTAGTCAGAGATGCATCATAACTTCCCCCCTAATTATCTACGTTTCTCACTGGGTATTGGCAACAGTGTCAGCAGGGATATGCATAATTTGGGGACTGTTAACTGCTAGTGCAGAATTAGCACAAAAGAAAAGCTAAAGTAACGGATACAGTTTGTTGTAGATATGCATGGGGAAAAATACCTGTGGCCTTCGCATAAATCTTTTTACTTCCATTTTTTAAAAAACGTGCCTAACCCTTTTTAGTTACTTCTCTGAGTATACCATTTAAGAGTAAGATAACCTCTGCTTCAAGACAATCACTAACTTCTACAAATTACTGCCAACATTTCAAGGATGAGGATATACATTAAACTGTGCATTTCCAGCAGATGGAATGTTAATTTCAAAGAAGAATGAGCTATCCTCCTGGGTCCATCAATAGCTATTAACTAAGATGGTCAGATACAACACACCACACTGTAGATTTCCCTAAAACTCTGATTGCCAGAAGCAGGGCATGGACAGCAAGAGATGGGTTACTTAAATGTCCCGTTCTGTTCAGTCTCGCTGAAGCACTTTTTATATGACTCCTTTTTGATTTTTACATCATGTAACATCTGATTAAGCCAAGGTGGTCTCTTGCCATATTTTCTATCTTTCCTGCGCAGTGAAACAGTTTGCTTTTGTGCTCTTTATGTCCCTTTAAAAAATAACTCTTCAGTTTTTTTCCTCTTATTCTTGCTTCCTTTGGGACCTTATCTACCAGCTCTCTTGCAATTACTAAAATCTGTATTCCTGAAATCCACTGTCCCTGTTTTGCTGCTCTCCCTTCTACCATTCCTTGGAATCATGAACTCTATGATGGCATGATCACTTTCATCCACGCTGCCTTCCACTTTCAAATTGTCAACCAGTTCCTCCCTATGTGTTAAAATAGAATCTAGAATAAGTATCACCACAGTAGCGCCTCAACCTTCTGAAATAAAAATCATCTCCAATGCACTCCAAGAACTTCTTGGATAGTCTGTGCCCTGCTGTGTAAGTTTCCCAACATGTCTGCACAGCTGAAGTCCCCCATCACCACCAAATCCTGTGCTTTGGATGATCGTTAGCTATTGGAAAAAAAAGCATCATCCACCTCTTCTGCCTTGGTAGGTTGTCTGTCGTAGACCCCTAGCATGACATCACCCTTGTTTTTTACCCCGTTTAATTTAACCCAGAAACCCCCTACCTATCCTTCCTGAGCAAGTTGTACACCCTTCTATACCAATACGCCAATCATGTACATTATCCCACACAATTATTTTCACCCATAGTGTCTAATTTCAGGACTTCATTGGAGCTCAGTGCCCCAAAAAGTAAGGCTTCTAATACAAGTATTTCCTCATAGATGTGAGGAATTGTAGACTGTCAAAAATGAGGATGGAAGAGATTAGAAGGGTCTAGGAAGGTGTGAACAGAGTCTTGTTTGCACTGAAGAGGACTGAAGTTTTCTACTTATCAAATTACACACTAGTTAGCTAATATAAAAACGTACAACACTTCTCCAAAAAAGCCAGTGCTGGGAAGTCTAGAAACAAGCAGATAAGCTACCAAGTAATTTATTTTATACAGCAGAGAACAGCATATTGTGGCGTGGGGACTGCAGCCAGAGCATTGTATTTGGCCCGTCCATCAGCAGGGTCACAGTCCCAGAATTATTTCGTTTCATGAGCTGGTCACTGTGTTTTTGTGAAACTGCTCATGCCTCTTATTGCTCCATTTGGCTCCCCCTTTCTAAAAGACTCCAACTCCACCCCACCCAGTTCCAGCTACTGCATTTCCATTAGCTGACTGGGTGCCTAGAATTCATCAGCTTCTAGCCAGGCCTCCACTCCAGCAGTGGGCAGCACACTAGAGCTGGGCATTTTTCATCAGGATGAAATCTAATCTAAACGCAGCGGACTTTTTTCCAAAGCTTGAATCCCAAACTGAGAACGGAACCCCAACAGCTCAACAAGGGCCATGGCGGGTCTGAATTGGAACAGTCTTGAATTCCACACCATTACACCAATACATTAGTGACAAAAAGTTTTACCATTAGTTTAAATTAAGGTGTTAAAAAGCAACTGAATTTTATTTTTTCTTCCAGTTTGCTGCTTGAGGGGACAGTGGCATGGGGTCCGGCCTTTTCTCAAATGGCTGGAGCTTGTGATCTGTGCAGGCTCAACCCCAACAGGAAATGGAGGAACACTCAGTTCACATTTGCCTAAACATGTGTTTTAAGATGTCTGCAAACAGGCAGACACCCCCTTCCCCTGCCTCAGGTAACATCCCCTCTGTTCACTCTGGACAAAATGTGAGGGCAATCCCTTCACAACAGCAAGGCAAGGGGGCTTTCTGAGGGGAAGGTGACAGGTTAGGTAGCAAGTATGAATCTGGGGAGGTGACAGTAATGACAAATTATAAGGCAGAAGAGCTGGATCCTGCAGTTTGTATGTTTGGGGTTTTTTTGACGCAGCATTTCCTGTGCGCTATTCCTCAACTAGAGTGAAACAAATCCTTGGTCAAGTGGTTGTGTTTAGGGACACAGGAACACACAGCTGCCTTTTAAACCCTCTCCTCCAAAGTTACTGAGTAACATCTGAACCCAAAAGCAGCCACACAGACGTTTGATTAGGGTACAAAAGCTGCTGAGTATCCTTCATTATCAGCGCATTAACCCAGACTGTTTCACTGATTTGAGTCAGGTTGGACAGCCAGCATGTGAATATCAAAGGAAGGGTTTTCCAAGCCACGGATCAAATCCTGAGCAGAGAGGAGAGAGAACAAAGAGGCCATCCTAGCTCAGGGGGAAGGCATTAGCCCACGATTTTCACACAGAAGGCACATCATCTCCAATAGTCTTCACCAGTCAGGGACACATTGATAGAGCCCTGCACCGATACAAAAATGTAGTATCTGCACCTGAATCCGCACAAATAAGGTGGATATCTACATCTATACATGTGGATGTGGATATCTGCAGATATCCATGGATTTTGCAGGGCTCTAAACATTGGCCATTCCATAGTCCACAGCAGTTTCTGTATTGCTAAAGCATTTTAGCCTGGGGTGTTAGTGGATTGAGACAGGTTCTCATTATAACTTAGCCCTGGACAATTACAGCTTGAGAAGAAGTTCTAAAATTTATTTCAGATCTCACAAGATGTACCTGAGCTGAATTTTTGTCAACATAAATGTGGATAACTCCTCCATGTTTGTTACATTCCTCAATAACATCATCTTTAATTTCTGTATCCCAACCAGCTTCTTCTTCACTGCAAAAGGAAAAATTTACAAGTGAGTACTTGGAATGAAAATAAGACCACCCCAACAAAAAAACTCATTCTCACATTATCCCACTAAAGTCAGAAAGAAGAGTATAACAGAGAGATGGCAGGTAATAACTTACGTTTGAGGATTAAACATATTGGAAAGCTGGAAGCATTGTGTTGCAAGTGGTTGTACAGAAGCAGCTGCAGCCAAAACTATTTAAGAGAAAGTGACAAGTTTTTCTGTCATTCAAAAATTTAATGCACAACTAAGGCTTTTTCTGTCTGTGCTTCAACATGTTAGACATCTGTGCTTCAAAATCACAAAAGGAACCTTAGAGAGTCATATCCTGCCCCCTGTGCTAGGGCAGGACCAACCAAACCTAGAAAAACCCTGATAAACGTAACTAAGTAGGATGAAAACAGGTTGGACAAACATGAATATTTTTAGTCCGATGAAGAAATCAAGGGCATAGAGAAGTGAAGTTACATGCCCAAGAAATCTATGGCAGAACTGGAAATAGAATTCACTGTGTTCAGAAGCCCAGTTCTTGATGAACTCCACCCCACAAAACCAAAGGCAACTTACTCTTAACTGATGCTAAGAGATTTGTTAAAATAATCCTTGGGAGCCACCCTGATTTACCATACCCTGACAGACTCTGAACCCAGGCACCCAGGCTCCCAGCCTTGTCCTTTAACGAAAAGCCCTACACTTCTGAACACAGTGTAGTTGTAATGACTGCACCTACTTACAAAAGATCAAAATAAAGTGTCTGAGAGGGGTAACGGTTAACTTGGAACCGATCCATTTCAAAAACCGAGTTATACGACTCCTGTATTATGCTTTTAAGCCTTTGCAGATAATTTCTTGTTTCAATCATTTTCCTGTATTTAATGAATCTCCCCCTTAGGCATTAGGAGGAAACATCAAGTAAAAAGCTTACACAGCAACCAACTTTTTAAAAAATTGATTGGCCCTCTAAAAACAAACTGGATTTCACTGACATTTGATATGATACAACACAGAAAATACAGCATGCCACTGGAATGCATGTGAAAGTCTCAGAAGTGTCCCATCAAGAACTAGTGTTGTTTATAACTGTTAAACCTATGCCTAAACTCAGTTATTCATGACTATATTAAGTTGAAACACACACCATAAGTAACCCTAAACCTGTGACTGAAAAGTTCTGCCTGTCCCAGGCATTCCGACAGGGAACTGCATAGCCTGCAGCAAAATTTTAAGTAGAAGAAACTGTCTAATCCAAATGGCAGCTCCCTTCAACAGGGCTGACCACACTTCTGGTACTAATGGAACCATGGACAGGCAAGAAGAACACTTGTGCAGTTTTTAGAAAGGATAGGCAGAGAGAACTGTCAGGCTAGACATCTTTCCTGAGTAGTGACAAGGGAGACGATCAATATTTGACCTGTAAGTTAGTGAAAGTTACAGTACTAGGCTAGGAATGGTTGTCACAGCTTGTATAAAAACCTGTGAAAAGTCAGCCACACAGAGGCTGCTAAACAGACAATTAATATTTGCCCTATTCTAAGTTGCTATTTGTAGTTAACTGAAAAATATGTTTTATTCAATGTGAGAAAGGAGTGAAGAGTTTACAGTTTCATTTTGAGGGTTCAACTCCCTTTCAGTGGAATTTTTCAGAATAGCAGGTTTTTATGACTTGCCTCAAGTCACACAAATTAATGACTCATCTGGGAATAGAACCCAAGAATCCTGACTCAGTTCCCACACTTGTAAATCCGGATGTCAACAGTACACATCAGATCCAACCTACCTTCATTCTGCTGGGTAAGTCGGGTTTGCAAATCTGAAAGAAGCATGTATACAAAATTAAATATTATCAGGAATACTAAAAACTGCATCTTTAACTGCCCACCTCATACTGAGGTTGGACAGTATCTTCATACAGGTACCCAACATTGCACTTCTTCAGATTAAAGGTAGTTTCATTCCGTCTAATTTATTACTAGGCAGGTGCTCAGATACTAGTGATTGACAGCACCTTTACTACTAGATCAACATTCTCCAAAGTAAAAGTGTTTAATTAATGGACAGTGAGACAAATGTGAAACTTCTCTCTGATCCACACATCTGCTTTACCGTAAACTGTACTACTTATCCTCTTGATAAAGAGCACATTGTACATCCTCTTGATAAAAAACACAAGTAGTAGAGAGGGCAGTTTTAAGTAAGCATTACACAAAAACTATACGTTCAGCATAGTTTGCAAATCTCTAATTAAGCCTCAATGTGTAATAATGCATTTTACAAATTAAGTAAATAAGGAAGAGATCATAGGACTTTAAACATCACTAAGGAGGGCAATGTTATTGCCAGGATGTCCTTTGATGTTCAATGTACACCTCTTTAAATCAGCAGCAATGGTAACTGTGGGCTGCAAGTGATATACAACTTCCAACTTTCTTCTTTGTGCCCAGCTCTTCCATTAATTCACACACATGGAGTTGTCGTGCATGGGACAAGTTCAGAGAAGGCTACATGAAAAAACAGATCTAGTTTTATTTTCTAAGATTGACCAGTCACACTTGAAAAATTGTCCCATACATCTTGATTATTTAGGTCCAGTATCTGAAACTGGTCAACTGATGTGTTTGGGAACAGATGACCAGAACTGAACAGCAGGCTAGGAGATGGATTCATGATTAGAAGAGCAAATTAATCCACAAAATGCTAATCTCTAATGAGACCTAGTACACACCTTTCCTCTGAACTCTGACCTCATCTATACAGATATTAGGTATAAGCCCCTATACTAATTAATATATCGTTTGTACATAAAAGGCTGGAGTTAGGCTGCAGATAGTTTTGAAGATGTGTGCACACTGTAGCTGGTTTTATCCTGAAAGTGCCAAGAGGCTTTAAAAGGTGAGTGCCTAGTTATGACACTAGTGTGAGTGAAGGCTACTATACTGGGAGTTTTAGTCGTTTCATTCACTGGTAATACAAAGGAACAATTTTTTTTTTTTTTTTTTTAAGTAAAAAAACCAAATAATTACCCAGGTTTCTTAATAAATATAAATCAGTGAAGATACTCCCAGAACAGCTAACAGGATTGATCTGTACTACTCTTCACATGCTTTAGTGTCCACTGCCAAGTCCCGCTCCCTTTGTGATCCCTTGCACAGCTTTTCACTAAGGATGTTAAGGACTAGTTGACTGTCCGATAAGCAAATGATTATCGAATAGTCAAGTCGACTAGTCAATTCCCCCCTTCCTTGTTGTCAATATTAAATAGAGGCAGGGGGGGGGAGGGGAGGAGGACTTCAAAGCAGCAGCACCACACACAGCTGACCCTGGCCTCCATGCAGTGCTGCCCCTCTGAAACACCGTGGCTGGATCAGCTTTGCAGCATGGCCCCTTTGAAACGCCACTACAGCATTAAGCAGCAGTGCCACATGGAGTCTGGGGTCAGCTGAGGACTCCCTGACTCCAGGCTCCCTGCAGCATTTCTGCAGAACTTGGAGTCAACTGGCGAGTCCCCAGCTGACCCCGGGCTCCGTGCAGCGCTGCCGCTTTGAAATGCCCAGCGAAGACCAGGATCATCTGGGGATTCCCCAGCTAATCCCAGGCTCCAGCATGGCATTTCGAAGCATGCAAAGCCCAGGGTCAGCTGGGGACTCCCCAGGGGTCTTGTGCATTTCAAAGTCGAAGTGCCCTTGTAGAGCCCAGAGTCAGCGGGACTTCCTGCTGGCCCCAGGCTGCACTTGGAGTTCAATTTTGAAATGCACAAGAGCTCCTGCTGAGTAGTCGATGGAAATTCTATCAACTACCACTAGTAAATTAATTATTTAACATCCTTACTTCAACTGCACCATCGTCCCTTCAAGTCCTCTGGGTCACAAAACCAGTCACTTGTCCAAAAGACCCAATGATGATTTGGTCCTCATTGGTGCTGGAAACTGTACACGCCCCAACTAGGAGATGACAA